GCTCTTACTCCTGGCTTTCCTGCTTTAAAGACAGTATTTCACTGACCTATGGTATTGAAGAGTGCCAAAGAAAAAGGGTGGACCATGAGCCTGCCTGTCTTCTGAGTTGTCCGTGTTGTGGGATTTACTAAGAAGTAGTACTGCTAAATTTGCTGCCTCTTAGTTCTTCAGCTGATTAGTGAACTTCTGATAGTTAATTTGTAGCCTGGCAAAAAGTTCAGCCTCTTGTATTTTTCTTTTACATGCAGCACAAGTGGAGGTGTTGTCTGCTGCACTCAGAGCATCCAATTTGGATCCTCAAGAAGAGACAACAGTTGGCACTGGCAAGGGAACAGACTCACAGAGTGACCTAAGTATCAAAGACCAACAGAATTTTAAGCCTATCCTGGGTGATATTGTGCCTTTAATTGGTGACACAGTTGAGGTAAGAAGAAAGCTTTGTGCTGGATTTTTTTTCTCATGTAGACTTTCAGGACTCCAGGAATAGAGCGGTAGTCTGTGGCCCTGCAATAATTGCAGCCAGGAGCTTCCTATGCACCTCTTGCGTGATGTTGGGGTTTTGCTGGCCGGCATTGCACATGGACCCCTAAAGTACAATGAGCTATGTTGAGTGATTTTGGTTTTGCAAGTCCAGGTAAATTCTTGAAATTGTTTCTGTTGAAACCTCTATTGTGACTATCACATTTTAGGACATTTGAATGCAACCACAGTTTACTAATATAAAATTGCAGCGCTTTAAAACAGAGCCTTATTCATAACAAGCAAACTAATCCCTCCCTCCTTCAACACCTCCCCCTCCCCAACACACTTTTTTTTTCTTTCTTTTTCTTTTTTTTTTTTTTTTCTTTCATCCTCTGGAGAAAGAGGTACTTTGTTTGCAGTACAAGGGTTTTACAGTAGCTTACTGGCCTGCATGGGAGGATTTTAGGACCTGTGACCTAGGATGTTGTGCAGGCTATGGAAAGGGAAGGTGTGTTCTAGCACTCAGTAAGATTTTTAATGCTTGTCGCACCTATTCCTTCAGTTTCTCCCCGTTTCCCCTCCCACACAAGTCTGTGGCATTTGATGGTCTTATTTCCGTTCCTTACTGAGTATTAGGTGAGAAATTATTCATTGCATGTTGTGCCACAAGCTTTGGTGGTATTAAAAGCTGTAGTTAAGTAGAAAGCAGTGGTCCTCAAGTTTATACTCTGTAAAACCATAGCAAGTAGTAGGTTGAGCCATGTTGCCTATATAGGAGAGAAGCAAGGGAGAGAGAGAGACAGTATTTTGAGAAGAAAGCTTGGTAAGAATAAATGGTTTTGAGAAGTGTCAAAAGCCTGTGGATGCTTCTTTTGGTGATCTTAGTGTGAAAAAATGAATGAGGATCCGTCATTTTTAATGCTGCACCAATGCTGTTCAACCCCCTTATAGCCCCAAAGCACTTGGTGGAGGTGATATGTGACCTTTGCTTGGGTGCTGCTGTTTATAAACAAGCATAATTTAGCATTGCAGGCTTCTTCTCTGTGCCCCCTGCTGCCAAAATCCCTGATCGTTTCTTTAAAACAGCACTAGCTGGCGCTTCTTGCTAATTCTAACCTTCAACAGGATAGTGTGAATCCTCTGCTCTCCTAATCTTGGAGGTTGAGTGGGCTGGTGTTTGTTTAGAGGGATCTGTTCCTGCATTTTCTTTCTTTGCAGAGGAGACAGAAAGCTAAAGATTCTTGGTTTATATTCTTTCCTGACACATGTAGGTTTTTCTCTTTGAAGAAATGCCCTTAACAGTCACTGAACTGGCAGATTATTACTGGCACTGAATCAAGTCCTCATTTTACAAGTGAAAGGATGTCATGGAGGTGACCTAGAATTTGGAAACCAAGCTGTGATCTGTTGAGCAAGGAGATTGCTGCCTCTAGCAGAAAAAAAACTGCTATGATTTTCACAGGTGTTTTTTAATTCCCAGTGTAGCAAAGAGTTGATATGGATACTGCATGCTTTAGAAAAACCAGGCTTATCAGTATTTTAGGTTTGGAAGCAGCACTCAATTCTGCATACCTATCACAAAGTAAAATCAACTTATGTCTGTTCTGCAGCTCTATGGGCTCCTGAAGGACTTAATGTTGCCTGTTAGAGAGCATTATCTGTGTTAATGAAAATACCTGATGGAATAAAATGAACAGAGATGGTTCTGCTACATAGGTGAAACTTGTTTGAGGATTTGTTTTTTTTTGTTTTCCTCAAGAACTACATGTCTTTATTTTTCATTAGGTTGCTTGCTTTCTACAAGGCACTCTGTGAAGAGTGGGGATAATTCACAGTTTGATTTTTGTTTTTGCTGGAGGTGGAGGGAGAAGGGATGGAAAAGAAAGTAAAGACTGAAAACAGCCCATCTGTCTGAAGTGCAGTGCCTATCCCTGAACATGGGAGTGGGAGGCGGCAGGAGCCCGTGCTGTGCTGCCCCTGCGTGTCAGGGGACACCAGCACCGCTCCTCCCGGTGCCCCTGGGCTGCAGGACACAGAGCAGGCCTCTCTCTGGAGCAGAGCTCTCGTACACTGTGGCTGAAGGAAACCTTGGGGAAAATACTAATAGGTCACGGCACAGATTTTGCATCTCAAAGTTGATTATTCACCAGTACACAAATTTCAGCCTATTTTTTTTTTTCTGCTGAGTTTTTATGTCCTGGCTCTCTGTAATGCTCGGTTTGGTGTGTGCATGTTACATGGAAGAGTAGCAAAGTGAAAAAGCAAGCCCAAATCCTGCAGACGTGTTTTCAGGACCTTGGAGGTTTTATAGGTGGAGTTGTGCGCTGCGGGGCACGTTCAGCTAGTCTCACATGAGGGTCTGTTCCCCCTCTGTGGCCCTTAGAGCCCCCCTTGCTGCTCTAGGCGAGGCAGTCAGGGCACTGGGACTGCAGGCCCAGCCACACGTGTTTGCCTTGCAGCCCTGCCTCCTCTTTAGCACGTGCAACTGTAGCTCAGTGACTAAAGTTAAAACCTGGTACTTAGAGGAAAACAGTACGTGGAAGAGAAGAAAAATAACCGACTAAGGTTAAACTAAGCAAGGCAGAGGAGAACCTGGAGGCCTTTTACTAGACATTCATGGTTTCATTTACTTGAAAACTGTCATCGTCAAGCTCATCTGCACAGTTAGTAGAGTAGGATCGTTCTTGGAGTTCATGTGGACCATGAGAGCTCACCCTGCAGTATTTGTGGATAGATGTCTTGGATTATCCCTGGCAAAGGCTTTCGCCCTGTTCCGCCAGACAGCAGTCCAATGGACTTCTCAGATACTTGCTGCCCTCTTTCCAAAACTCGCAGCTGCTTCTGTGAAGGCCCTTGTGTGTGGGAAGCTCCTCTGGCGCAGGAAGTGGCACTGCATCCTCTCAGCAGCACAGTGTGCCACAGTGAATTAAGCAGCAGCTGCTCTGGAGAGTTCAGAAATAACCTCCCAGTCTTTGGAGCCCAGATATGTACCCAGGATGCTTGAATGATTGCCAAAATTTAAAAAGAAAAAAAAAATTACTGAGAGAGGCAGAGAGTGATGTCAATGGCGATGGCTCACCAGGGCTCTCTATAATAAGGTGAAATTCATCTGCAGAGGAGATTATGGGATAATCACCTCTAGGAAAGGAGCATCTCCTTCATTCCCACTCTTAAGTGCAAAGATGGCTTTGTTTTCACCTTTTCTAGCACAAATCCAGAGTAGCAAATTCAGCTAAACCCACTGTAAATGTTTTCCGTTTTTTCCCCATAAGGGACAAACAATGCGGCACACGTGTTAGTTGCATTTTCTGCATCAGTCTCAAAGATGCTCATCTCCTATGGTGATTTTAATTCCATAAGTACCAAAATGACACAGGCTAAAGGAGATTTTTGTTTTAAATTTAAAACAGAAAGATTTATCTAAGGGGCCTTTTGATTTGGGGCTATAGCAAAAATGTATTTTATATTAAAACATATATCATTTTAATCTAAGAAAAAGACCCTGAGGTGAGAGCAGGGATTTGGATGTTTGTCTTGTGTTTAATCCTTGAGTGTTTCTTATATGACTTTTTTTTCTTCTTCCTTTCCCTTGAGTAGAATATGGATTCTGCTCTTCACTATATTCATAATGATTCGGATTTGAGCACCAATAGTAGTTTCAGCCCTGAAGAAGAAAGAAAATCCAAAGTACAGGTAAGTGACAGTGACTTTTGTTTTGCCTGCATAGACCAGATAGGCAGGATTTTTATTATAAATACGAATATTTTTTTCTGCATTTCATCCTGTCATTTTCAATGTAGCGTATTTTCTATACAATACAGAAAACCTCTTAAATAGGCCTCTCTTAAAATGCTGTCTTGAGAGTTTCTAGAGATAATGGCTTCATTCAGCAGTTGCTTCTGTCTTAATTGTGTGTAAGAGATGAGAACTTTTTTTTTTTTTTCTTTTTTAAACATGAGAGCAACTGGGCTCTAATTTTGAGTTGAATTCTCTATGGAAACTGTCCTGTGATTTAAATTAGGATATTTTGTTAAATATTTTGAGTGAAACTGCTCTTACCTGCATGAAAGCTTTTCAAAGAAAAGGTGTGGAAGTTTGTTTCATTAACCTCAATATATAGTTTATAGGGAACTTTGATTTTTGCTTGGTTCAGTATTGACTGTGCTGCCCTGATGCCAGTAGTGGAAACATGAGTCCCACGTGAGCTGTGCTATTCAGCAGCTCAGTGTCGGTGAAATGTTCTCGTGCACCCCACTGGGAACAGTTAGTACCTGAGATAAACTAACAGCTGAGGCAAAGAAAATACCTCAGCATACCTTAAAGAAAAGTGAACACAAAAAGGGATTCACCTCACTATTTTAGGTGCTTTTTAGGTGCTCCCTATTCTTCCCTGAGTAGTTAGGGAGTTTGGAAGCAGTATTGAATGTCTTAAACACTCTGCAGCCTCTCCCTTTACACTCCTTACCCAAAGCTTTTTAATTTGACTTCCTTCTCTCTCCTTCTCCAAAAGACAGGATTTTGGAAAGAATAGTTCAGTGATTTTTGAGGAAGTGTTGTCATTCGCGATCATGCTCGTCTTATGAATGAGTTAAAATGGGCAAACTTTGTGCCCTGTTTACATAGGCTACAAGTCTGAATGTTCGTAGAGAAGCAGATTACACAATTTCTTATTTTCTTGGTCTGCCCAAGTAGACAGCGATCCATCTGCTCGTCTGTTAGGTCAGTCTGTTTCCTTTCAGATAGCTCCCAAATGTCATCGTTTCTTCTACTGGTGGAATTTTCATGAATTAATGAACTTCTACATTCTTACGAGGAGATTTTAGTTCGATAATATTCTCTAGTTGTAGGAGGAAGAAAAATGTTACTCTGTGTGTTCAGAAATTTTAACCATCTCTGCAAGGATGTGTTGAAAATTATGTAACTGTCCATTTTCCTTGCTACAGGATGTTGTACCTCAAGCCTTGTTGGATCAGTATTTGTCAATGACGGATCCATCTCGCGCACAAACAGTCGATACCGAGATTGCCAAGCACTGTGCCTACAGCCTGCCAGGGGTGGCACTCACATTAGGCAGGCAGAATTGGCACTGTCTGAAAGACACCTACGAGACGCTGGCATCTGACATGCAGGTATGCTGGACATTTCCTTTAGTATGAAAAACTTGGAAAATGAATAAGCTGTGAACTTTTGTGATGGTATTTTGGAACACAGGATGTTGGGTTGCTCTGTTCTGTTAGTCATTGACACTGCGAATGAAAAGTCGTGCTGTTGTCTTGGAGGAAGCTGGGAGTGTGTGGTGCTCGGGCAGTAAGCAAGCAAGGGGGGCTGATTTGGGTGCAGTAGTGGGAATGTGAGAGAGGTCTCCAGTCTCCTCTGCTCGCTTGAGGTGTTGGGTTTCTTGCAGGTGTGAGCACTGAGGCTGTGCTGCAGCATGTGCCCCGCAGGCATCTGAGTCAGCCTCACGCCAGGCTCTGCTGGCCCTCTGGTGCTCTAGCCAGTTAGTCACGCGGGAGTAACATCATCTCAGTGCAGCACTGCTGTTTTAAAAACCAATCCTAGAAATAGCAGTGTTTTTGTTAGGTGGTAAGGAGGCAGCTTTGTGCATTTCGTTGTTGGTTTATGGTTGTTTCCAGTATTCTTTTTCTCCTTTTTGGGAGATGCTCACTTTTATAAGCTCACTCTGGCTCCTTCACCTCCCTTGAACTTGCTGCTGCTATGTTGCAGCAGCAGCTCTCAGTGATATGTAGTGAGCAATTTTATAGATGGATATTGCTCATATTTTCCGAGGTGTTTTGCAGCCGTTAGAAACAACCAAATAATAAATTAAAGCATAAATTAAAATAAATTGGTCTGTATTTAAAACTGTCGAGTTTATCACCAGTCTAATCTGAGCCAAAATTGAGTCATCAAGACAGGTGACCAAACAGTACTCCTGCTAACTGGAAAGTGCTGGTTGGAGAAGAAATGTTATTTATTTTCTTTCTTTTAAGAGTACTTAATTTAAATAGTTAGTCCATTACAACGGTGCTCACTCAAGTTAGGGCCAGTAAAAGCTCTGTGGATTGTGGCCTGCTAGGCTGTCTCTATTCATGAAACTTTTTATCTGTTTGGAAAGCTGAAAGATTCCAGCTGAAATATGGGAATACTTCTTGTTCTGCTTTATAAATTAAATATAACAGTATGGGACTAGTTTACTCGAGAACAACGTGGAACAGAGTTTAATGTATAGAAAAATGCTGTTATCAGGAATACTATTGTCCGTCCCTGCACCTGGAAACTTAAAACTTTTATTTGCTTAGTTCCTAGATACTCAGTTGGAACAAATTAAGGGACAGCTAAAAGATCATAATTTCTCTTCATTTTCCTTTCTGTCTCTCTCACTTTTAATATTTAGTTTTCATTGAATCATTGAATGGGACACGCTCGCACATAGGATACAACTGTTAAATGCAACTGTAACCCTCTGAGAATCAGAGAAGGATACTGACCCTCAGATTAAATTGGAGCACTAGGGATGATTCACTGATAAAGTGTGTGTGTGTGTATATATATATATTTTTTTCTTTACAGTGGAAAGTTCGACGGACGCTAGCATTTTCTATACATGAACTTGCTGTGATCCTTGGAGACCAGCTCACAGCTGGAGATTTGGTTCCTGTCTTCAATGGCTTTCTAAAAGACCTAGATGAAGTCAGGATAGGTGTGCTTAAACACTTGCATGACTTCCTGAAGGTATGTCTGTCATCAACTTGGCTCCACTTAAACTGCCTCTTTTGCTTCATTTTCTTGTTTACACTTGCTTTTTTTTAACATAACACCAATACAGCCCTTTTGAGAATGTGTAAGAATGTCCTTTGATTACTGGAATGTCTTTTGCAGGAGGCACGTGCTGCTTATTGCTTCTCTCTGAAGAACTTGATCTGTGTATAAGTTTTCAATGTATAAGTGCTAGTGGATTGTATTAAGCTTTTTAATGTCGTTAACCTCTTGGTAGCCATATTCTTCTTCAACCTTTTAGGAGTTTTCTATAACCTTATCCTTTTTGAGCTGAAAAACACAAATCATAAAATCTTTACAAACAGTTCTAGGTTTACTGCTTAACTTTCTTATTTCCTAGAGAAAACATAGGAAGAGTTTTTCTTCTAGAGAAAACTCTTCTAGAGCTTTTACCTACAACAGGATGTTGTGTGATTTCAGTGACTTAAGCATGGTACAGTTTAGCCCAGAAAAGTATTACTGTTGCTAAAGATTAATTTTTGAATCAAAGCAAGTGTGGCATTAGTTCTCCTTTAAGCCGCTTGTTCTATCTACCTGTTGCTTGTAACTTGTTCACCGTTGCAGCTTCTCCATCTTGACAAAAGGCGAGAGTATCTCTATCAGCTCCAGGAATTCCTAGTGACGGATAACAGCAGGAACTGGCGTTTTCGTGCGGAGCTGGCCGAGTAAGTGATTGCCTGAGTGTTTGTGTTTCATGTGAGCATTTTAAAATGCTGAAATGGTAAAACAAATATCTTGCAGTGATATTCTTCATTTTGTTTTTAATTAGTGAATTATCCTTATCCTTTTCTACTTGTTCTCCTTGTTTCAAAATTCCTAATTTTGAATCGTGTATCATATAAAACAGCTGAGAATGTCTTTTCTGTTACCATATGTTGAAAACATTACTCTTCTTTTTTTAAAGAGAGAACTGCCATGAGAGAGAACTGTTGTCCAGTTCCTTTTTAAATTAGTAGTGTTTTAGCAATTTGACTTCAAGTTGCTGAGCCTGGTAAACAGGCTGCTGCGTTCATAAGGTAGATGCGATCAAGATACTCAGGGAAGTGAAGAAAGCAAGTAGCAGAGAATAGGCCTTAGGTTACTTGTGAGCAGACTTTGGCCTTTTTTTTGTGGAACTGGGATCCCAGGGGAAGGGCAAAGCTGCTCACGAAAGCTGACAGGTCTTTAACAGCAGTAGCTTCCAAACAAAAGAAGGGTCCATCTTGATATTTGGAAAAACAAGTAGTCCTATCAACAACGTGGCCTGACTAAGCAGGGAACTCTTGGCTGAGCTTGAATACCAAAAGGGTGCCCTATAGGAGGGAGAAGTGGAGGCAGACTGGACACAAGGAGTTTGGAAATGCTCAGGCTCTGTGCTGTGGCACGTAGCATAATGAGATAAAGCCTGGCTAGGGGTTGAGATGTGCAGCCCTCTGAGCTCTGCCTTTCAGCCAGTTCTCGATGCACTTCCATCTCCACTCATCTACTGAGCACTTCCTGAACTTCCCCATGAGGATGTTACAGGAAACAGTGCCAGAAGCCTTGCTGAAGTCAAGGTATTCAACATGCACTGCTCTCCCCTATCTATCTAGCTAGTCATTCCATCATAGAAGGCCATCAAGTTGACTGAGAGTGTTTTGCCTTGGTGAATCCATGCTGACTAACCTCCAAGTAGGTCCCTTGAAAAAGCCAGGGTTTGCTCTTCTGAAGGCAAGGGTAGTGATCCTACTTATGAAGACCCTCCTGTCAAGACTCAGTTGGATAAAGCTCTGTGCAACTCATTACAAAGTGAAGAAAAGAGTGGAATATGCTAGACAACTGTCTAGCAGAAAATATCTGAAGTAGGAGGATTTTATTTGGTAAATAAGTATCCATATTTTGTTAAGTCTCTTTGCTCACTTGCCTTACGCACACCTGCAAGATATCCATAGCTGGTATTAGAGCGCACATGCAAGCAGCAGTGTCATTCAGCTGCATTGCTGTGTTTCATGAATGTTTTATCAGGAGCCCTTCGTTGTAAATGCAGTGTTGCTTCCTTGGCCTCTTTCCTAGGTAGGTCGTTCTTTGAGATAATTCAGCATTTCATCATTATGTTGAATAAGTGGCAATTTAAAACCTACAAGTGATCCACAGTGGAATCGATGGTGTAACAGGCAGAAGATTTTACTCTTCCGTAACTTTGATGGCCGCATTCTGTTACACGACAAACAAGGCCAACTAAATGATCATTTTCACATTTAAATTACCTTTTTCAATTTTCTAATGTACTCTGTTTTCTCTTCCTTCTTCTAGACAGCTGATCTTGCTTTTAGATCTGTACAGTGCCAGAGACATCTATGACTACTTGCGGCCTATTGCTTTCAGCCTGTGTGCAGACAAAGTGTCTTCTGTCCGCTGGATTTCTTACAAACTGGTAATGAAAAGCTCAGTCTAAGAAAATTCAGGATTTTAAATTCAGAGGGTGTCAGTCAGAAGTGGTTTTTTTAAAAAATGTATTTATCCCTGTCTTCTAGGTGAGCGAAATGGTAAAAAAGTTGTATGTGGCTTCAACGTCAACTTTTGTGGTAGACCTGATGGACGAACTTGTTGAAAAGTTTTGCAGATGCCACAAGTGGTCTGGTCGGCAAACTTTTGTTTTTATCTGCCAGGTAAAACATCGTTTCATTTAGCTCTTTTGCTTATTGGAAGGGAAGACAAGTAGCTGGAACTCTTTAGCCGTTGATACTTTTTCACAAATACTTAAGAACATCCTGCCAAGGGGATAGACCTCATAGCCTGTTTTCTTCAGTGTTCAGCTACTTCAGCTCTACAGTAGAGCTTCCAAGGAGATGCTACAGAACAAAATCTACTGCTTACCTGGAAGTAGGTAACGTGGCTAAAAATGGTACTGATGGCTAGTTTATTAGCTGATTGCGTAGCACTCTTGTGCAAGCCTGCAGTTTAATATATTAATTTAGGTTTTCAGAACAGACTGAGCATAAAGTACACATATAATAAATATAAACATAATAAAACAGTACCAACTATGCCCAAGTTGTTACCCAGCATGATGTGAGATTTTTGTGCTAATGAGACTGTGCTTCTGCAGCTGCCTGTTACTTTTCTGGATGATCCTTTAGAAGTCAAGGGCTAGGAATTGCCTGTCCCTCCTTAGCCAGCTAGCACAGCTTTTTGAGAAACTACAGAAGAGTTGAAACTCTCTGGAGATAGAGTACTTGGGAGTAGAAAGTGATCAAATTTGGAGGCAGTAGCAGAGGGGGAGACTGGGAGCCAGCATCCAAGTGAGACAATTTGCACTGAAGCAGTCAGAGAAATGTGAGCTTTTTAGCTTGTTTAGAAGAACGTGTGAATACAGTGGATGTTTGTTAGGATGGAACTTTCATGTCTTAAGCTGATACCCAATTAAAGACTAAATCTTAAAAAGTATCGTGAATGTCTTTTATACTTCTTCCTTGTTGTCAAATGTTAACTGATAAGAACTTAAGAAGTTGTTAGGTCTCATGCAAAACAACGTGGGTTTGTAACTAAGGTTTTGCTTCACACATGACTTCATGCTTGAAAGTATTGTACATATTTCAGAACTTCGGTGGTAGATTCTGTGTTCATTCTTTGAAGGTAATAGGGTCTGTCAGCTGCTGCTGTGAGATCTGTTGGAATTCTATCCTCTCTCTGCTGAAATCTAATGAATTTGCTTTTCTCTTCTTGCCAGACTATCAGTGAAGATGACTGCCTGCCCATGGACCAGTTTGCAGTGCATCTGTTGCCACACTTACTGCACCTGGCATCTGATAGGGTTCCAAACGTTCGAGTCCTGCTTGCAAAGACGCTGAAGCAAACTCTGTTAGAGAAAGGTTAGTGGTCAGAAATAGTTGCAGGGCACTGACTGTGTATCTTTGTTAGCTTGTTAGTTCTTGTCTTTATCCAGCATCTGTTTTTTCACTGGGAAGAAGAAACTGCTGCTGTTTTGTTTTTTATGTTTTTTGGTGACAGTAAGAAGAAGGTTTCTTTAGGAACTCTACAGGAGAATTAGGCATGCTGCTTTCCAATCACATACTTTTCTTAGGAAAGCATTCCCTATGCCTAGCAGATGCCAGGAAAATCGAATGCCAAAGCACTGTAATGGAAAATAGCACTAGAAATATTGCACCATTTTGAAAACAAGCATGCTCACGTTTGGAATACTTGGTTCAATCAGTGGGTAACTTTCTTCCTTAAAAACATACACTAACTGGAGGCTGCTGTTTTTGACATAGAAAATGTAGAAATGGTGTGAAGAAAAATGAAAAATGTTTAAAATTTTGGACAATTGCGAAGAATGCCAAATCAGAGCTAGATTAACAATAGCTGCCGTTTGTATATGCAAGGCATATAGGTTCTGCGTAAACCTTTAGACAGTTACCACAAATCAAGTAACATGCAGTAAGTTGTTACCCTCCGTTGCCTGTGCCAAGGCCTTTAATGTTGTTGCTGTTACCATGTACTACTTGTCTGTTCCCATGGGGATGGTCCAGCTCCAGTCTGCATTGCTGCTCTTCAAGCTTATGATCAAGTCCCTGCCTCAAAAAGGTTGTATATATGGGAGGGGTGGATTGATTAGGAAAGGTAGATAACAAATTCTGAACTTATTTTTTTAAAAACCTCAAAGAATCAATTGCCCTTCTGACAAGGTGTTTGTAGCTGTGCTATTATATGACCAGTCCTGTAGTTCATGAGCAGTTGTCAGAAGTTGGGTTGTCTTCCACTGTTCTTTAATGATACCCTCGTGGTGTTGTTGGGTAACGATTTGGCAAGCCCGCCAGTGGAATGGCATGGCCCACCCATGGGTGTGTGGTACCTTTCCTCTGCCCCAAATACACGAATGCTCCTTCCGAGTCTCTTGCAGGAATATTTTTTCCTCCTTGCTCATGGAGTGAAGGAGTGTAGAAATCTTGTACTCTATTAGCACAGTTAGAGCAACTATATCATCTGAAACATGCAGTGATTTTTTTTTTTAAGTGAATTTTTAGGTCTATCTAGAAGCATGGTGTGTGCCTGCTTAAATATTCTGGTTTAACTAGACATGTGCAATAGTTGTCTCCTGAGATTTTGAAACTCAGAACAGTGTGCTGAGGTTTGCTCTGAAATATCTGCTATTTTTTCATCCTGTGCAAGTCTCCTGTATTTTCTCTTACAGAGTATTTTCTAAATTCTGCCAACTCTCATCAAGAAGCTGTGGAGCAAACAATTATGGCGCTTCAAATGGATGACGACAGTGATGTCAAGTACTTTGCAAGTATCCACCCTGCCAGCACCAAAATTGCAGATGATGCTATGAGCACAGCTTCATCAACTTACTGAAAAAGTTCCTGAATGTTGCTATAATTAAAAAAAAAAATCGAAACAAACTATCCTCAAATGCTCCTAAAATGGATGATCTAGGACAGCCTCTTCGGAAGGAGAGATTTCTTGCCAGACTTAACAGGTGGATGTTATCTAAACCTGACACCAGGGATTTTAAGTCAAGAAAAAGTAAACGTTAGCTCTGTCATCTTGACTTTAGAAAACATTGCTCAGAGGATTGTTTTTGCCACCGACGCCTTAAATCTTCTGTCTTCCTGAACAACCGAAACTTGAATTGGCAGATCATTTTCATTGTAGAAAGGATGGGAATTCCAGAGACCTGCGTTGTTTCTCCTGAGGAGTTAACTTAGCAAGTATTTTCTGTAGCAACTGATAGGTGAGATAGCAGAAAGGCAAATCGATACCAGGATGTGAGACCACCAGTATTAGTGCTCAACGTTTTTATCATTCAAGGACTTGATTTGTGTGCAGCTGGGCACACCCTTAAGTGGGAATAGCTTCGGTGTGTGTAAATGGGGAGAAGTAGAAATTTGGATTTCTCTTAAGGGCTCAGTGCTAACACTAAACTAGAATTTGATTTTAATCCTTAAATGCAGCATATTGCTGTATCCATTAGCAGAAAACTTTGCTGAGTACCTGTGTCCTAATTATTTTCATGCTGGTCATGACCTAAAGGAAATTTATTAGCACATGTACTTTAAGTCAGGTATTTTTAACTTGATCATGATCGGCTCTGAGGTGCAACTTTTTTCTTCATATACTGTACATATCTGTGAGCCTCTTTGGAGTGCTGCAGTCTTTAATCATGTTGTTTAAAGCTGTTGTGATACAAGTTGTTCTTTACTTGTCCAAATAAAATTTATTAATAAGATTGAAAGAAAACTTGTGACCTTTTTAAGACATTAAAAAAAAAAAAAGTTTGAAATCTAAGTGTCTCTTTCTTTTCTGGTTCTTTATGCTTGCCCAGTATGGATGCCTGGGTGGGGGGGAGCTCCTTAATGGTTGGGAGGACTTTTGTGTGTTGGGCTGGAGGATATTTGTAGCAGAGAGATCCTTGGTCATGCCGAGATGTCGCTAGATTCTGCCCGAGTCCCTGCTGTGCTCGGGAAGCTGTCGCTCCCGTGCGAAACCGCCTCGTTGCTGCAGGGAGCCTGAGCGTGCGCCCCAGGCCCGACCTGCAGGAAGCTGTGAGCTCCAGCTGCCCTTGGGCTGCGCTCTGTCCTCTGGACACTTGGCTTTCCTCGCCTTTGAAGTGGCTGATACAGTGTTTATTTCTGTGTCTTCCAGGGGCAGCTTGCGCATCTGATACGTGGAACCTGAGGTGTGTGAAGCTGGTTTTTGAGGAGTTAAAAATGGCCATGGCAACTTCTCCCGGATTTGTTTCTGCAGAACTCCTCTGTGTGGCTGTCACAGGGTCAGTGCCCCAACAGTTCGGCCTCAGGCAGGTGTCTTTTTCTGTGTTCTCTTGGGATTTTTTTTTCAGTAATAAGGGTGTTGCTATTTACTTTCTAGACACCAGCTGTTCTTACTCCTGTGCCTGGCCATGGAAGCGACTAAAATACCAAGTCATTCCTATCTGCCTTGAAGTTTGGTGGGGATGGGAGAGCTGAGGCCTTCTGTTTTGTTCTGTTTTCCTTCACTTGTCCTTTTCCTTTTGAAATCAATTCAAAATTGAAAAATCCAGCTACGTGGCTAGTTCAGAAGTTCTGCGGCTCGGATAGCAACAGTCTGCTCTGCAAATCCCAGAGGAGCAGCACGAGTTGTCAGAGAGCAGCCTCCCCTTCAGGCAAAGGGCTCCCGAGCGCTCCCTGCTGCCACAGAGCAGCTGGGAGCTGCTCCCCTCCCAGGCCGTGTGACTCTTGTTTTAGAAGAATGCATTGAAGTCCCATCGCTTCTGCTGTTTTCTCCAGGGTACGTGAATCCCTTGTCTGCTTTTTGTCCCTGTAGCAACACTTGCTGCTGGTTCATGTGTGTAACTTCTGATGTGGCTTGGATTACAGTTGTTTGTGAAATCAGAGGATGCTTCAGATCTTCAGATTGTGAGTGAAGTTCTGTGAAGTTGTTCACAGAGGGAGAATTGGGATTTTAGACGAATTCCCAGCATTTGGAGTCCAGAATGAACCACATTCCCTGATTTGTTATGTCCCAGCCTGATTCTGTTACTGGTAACACTTTGTTCTGTAGAATGATGCAGGATGTCAGATCCTGTCAGACATTATCTAAGCTTTGGAGATAAGATCTCTTTGCAGTGGAAACTGAAGACGGATCTTGCTGGAGCTCTGTTTTTCCCCATTCTGTATTTCTTCAGTGCTGTCGTAGGCTGTTTGCAAGAGGTCCTGTCGGTAGCAGCTCACGGCAGTCGTGGATGGGAGGCCGCGTGGGAGGTGCCATTCGTGCCCTTAGAATCAGGAGCTCCAGGCTGCTGGGTCGGCTCTGTGGCATCCGTGAGCCCGTGGGAAGGGTCCCTGGTAGGGCTTGTCCAGGACCCTGCCTTTAGCCGAGGGGTTGGAGTGGATTCAGTCCCAGAGCACCGCAACTGCCCTGACAAATCAAGACCTCTGCAGAGCAAGGGCATGGGAGGTGCTGCCTTTCTCCATTCTCTTTTCCCAGCGTGTCACTTCCCTGCCGCCTCCTTCCTACTTTGTTTGGAAATTCCCAAGAAGTGGAAGGGAAGACTGTCTTTGCTCTCAGAATTGCCTGTTTGATCCTACAGCCCTGGGGATGGGGTCTGTTGCACATGAATCTGATGGGAGCATTTCTCCCGCAGGCAACGTAAGGAATGTCAGTAATCCAGGCTTGAACTTAGAATGTCTCTGAGAAGGTGGAGCTTGGGGAGATGCTTCTCAGTTCTGGGTGGTGAAAAAATAGAGGGTGTTGGTGTTGTCTGGTTGTTTTTTCTGTGGAGGGCAGTGTCTGGGAAGGATCATAGAATCACAGAATGCTTAAGGTTGGAAGGGACCTCTAGAGATCATCTAGTCCAACCCCCCTGCACAAGCAGGGACACCTAGAGCACGTGGCACAGGACTGCGTCCAAACGGGTTTTGAAGATCTCCAGAGAAGGAGACTCCACAACCTCTCTGGGCAGCCTGTGCCAGGGCTCTGTCCCCCTCACTGTTTAAAATTTTTTTCCTTAAGTTCCTGTGGAACTTTTGGTGCTTTAGTTTGTGGCCATTACCTCTAGTTCTGTCGGTGACCACCGCTGAAAAGAGGCCAGCACCATCCTCCTCACTGCCTCCCTTGAGGTACTTATAGACGCTGATCAGGTCCCCTCTCAGCCTTCTCTTCTCCACACTGAACAGGCCCAGCTCCCTCAGCCTCTCCTCATAGGGCAGATGTTCCAGGCCCCTGATCATCCTTGTAGCCCTGCGCTGGACTCTCTCCAGCAGCTCCACATCCCTCTTGTACTGTGGAGCCCAGAACTGGACACAATACTCCAGATGTGGCCTCACCAGGGCTGAGTAGAGGTTGCCTCTTTCGTGTGTCTCCCATCGAGATTCAAGCTGTGCCTGCACAGTTTTCCTTCATCGGTCAGGGTTTCTCAGGCGGAATGTGAGGTAGCCCTGAATTACCCATGGTTTCCCGAAAGCATCCACCCCGTCTTCTAGGTAAAATGTCATATTAAGCCTCTTTAAAATTTTCCTTATTTTCAGTTTAATCCCTTTCCTAACAGTTTCTCCATGAGGAATTCTCTCCTTGCCCGCCCCACGGTCTTGGTCACAGCATTCTCTGTCCTTCCCCTGCCTGCTGCTGTTTCCTGCCCCGAGACCCGGAGGAGTTTTTTGTTCAGATTTCCTGCCCATACAACTGACAAATGTGTGAAACCTTGTGAAGGGCAGTTTCTTGTTTTAACCTAGACAAGCAAGATAGATAGAAGTTTTTAAGTGTCAATGTGTTTTGTTTTGAATGCCCCATATAATTGTTCCTTTAACTCCTGGCCCTGATGCTACTTGCATTAGGACTGGAGCGTAGCAGACTAATTTCAACTGGAAAAAAAAAAAAAGTTTGAATGGACTTTTAGGAATCCCAGCGGGAGAGGTGGCTCTCCTGTGCCGGGGCGAGTCTGGCTGTGGTGATATCTGTGTTGGCTCCAAAGCTGGTGCCTCCCTCAGCTAACGGGGGATTCCCGGGTGCTGCCTCTCGCCACAGAGTGGGGCTCAGAGGCGGCTCATTTGAACGGGTAGCGAGCAGAGAGGGGGGAATAGCCCCGTCTGCAGAGCAAGTCCGGCTCTGATCCGCTCTCTTCCCACGGGGAGTTTTGTGTTCTCTGAATGCCGGCGTAAACGGCAACGCAAGCTCCCTAAGGCGAAACTTGTGCACCCAGTGACTGCAGGGGAAGAAAGCGGATCAGAGCTGAAGTGCCGGACAGATCAGTCGGCTCTGATCGCTCTCTTCCCACGGGGAGCTTTGTGTTCTCTGAATGCTGGCGTAAACGGCAACGCAAGCCCCCTAAGCCGAAACTTGTGCACCCAGTGACTGCAGGGGAAGAAAGCGGATCAGAGCTGAAGTGCCGGACAGATCAGTGTCCCAAGGGCTCCGTGATGGGGCCAGCAGCGCCTCATTCCTCATTTGTTTTGCAGGTGATGGAGTCGGGGGTGGCTGACGCCCTGTGCCGCAGAGGAACCCTGCAGAGCTCCGCAGAAGGAAGCGCAATAGCCCCTGCGCCAGGACCTGCTGCGGTGCCCGCAGGGGAGCAGCCCGTTGGGGAAGGGCCAGCGATGTTCCTTGTGCAGAGCTGGCCAGCAGCACCCCACGCTGCTGCAGCAGGGCTCTCCGGAGCCGCCTTCCACCACCCATGACTCCGAGCTTGAGCAAAGCTCCCTTGAGCAGCTGGCTCAGCTTGGGGATTTGTTCATTTGCCTTTTTTAGAGAGAAAGCCTTAGGGGTCGGACATGAGTTCCAAGCTCCGGGCTGCAGACTTTAAAAAAAAATAAAATAAAAATTGCTCCCTGCTTAACTGTTAGGTGAGTGACTGTTCCAGTTTATCTTTCCAAAGTACAAGCAGTTTGTGGGAGTCTGTTGTGTGCAGAATGCCTGGAGGTGATTTACTGCACACGTTGCCTTTGCAGTGAGCTGCCAGCTCTGGTGCAGGGAAGTGCTGCTGCCAAAGAACCAGGTTGGCATCCTGATGCGGGCATTAAAATGCCCCATGTCCTGCCTGCTCAGGTGTTTTTGTGCTCGTTTGTGCTTCGTAAGGGGCTGATTTGACAAAATCTGTCCTAGACATGTTGAAAAGGACTGTTCAAATAGAGGAGGTAAATAATGATCCTTTTGCCACTGCCATGGCTTTAAGAGGAACTTTTTCTGAAGTAATGCCCTGTGGAAGCAAAAGACTGATTAAATCCAGAGTGCCAAACAGACTTTGCAGCCTGCTTATTCATTTCACGAAGGTTAAAGGTGAGGCAGTCAGCTCCTGGGCCACAGAACCTGCCAGTGCAGCCAGGAAATAGAAGCCCTGCTTTTTGTCACTGGAAACCTGCTGTTCTGTAGGCAGCTTTAAGCATGTTCAGAGCAATGTGGTAAGAGGAGGAAGTCTGTCTGCCTGGGCTCAGTGACCAGCTCAAACCTGACCACTAACTGCAGCCTGGCTAAGTGCCTAGGGGTAGCACTAGGGGTAGAGCCTGCTCCAACAAAATCTGCAAATAATGCACATTCCTTCAGTGTCTCATGTTAATGGTGGCAGCGACTGCTTGTGTGCAGAGGCTTCAGCTTCCAGTTCTGACCTGCCGGGAGCGAGGTACTTTGCTCTTCCTGCTGCACAGTGGTCATGTGTTGTAATAAGAACGTGGGTGAAGCTATGAGGATGGGTTAAGAGGTTGGGTTTTACTTCTGCAGCTGAAGTTTCAAGTAGGTAGAGGGCAATGCAGACTTCAAAGCCTTTTGATCAAATCTTTGATCAATTTAAAAGGGATCTTCAGTTAAGAAGCTTTCTCTGGAATTCAGCTGCAGGCACCCCAGGAGAACTGAGCTGAGCAGCTTCTGTTCCAACCCTCCCGACCGCAGGCAGCGACACAGGAAAAATGACCAGAGGCTGCATGAGAAAGACCCAGTGTGAGGTAGATAAATTAATTAGAGACCACATCAAATGGCTGTTGAATTTATTTGCTTGATAAATACAATCCTAACAAAATAAAAGTTAACCAATATTTAGAGATTTGTTTGAAGAACATTAGAAAAATCCATGACAATTTGATAGGAATTAGTGTGAATTAAACAACAAAAAAAGTTTAAATATTGCCAGCAAATATAAAATGTTTATAACGAAGGCATGGGAGAATGCTTTACATTTGTCATCTGATCACATTTTCTGTCTTTATAAACTTTTTTTTTCCAAATTTTAAAAAAATACTATGCTGTTTTCTATAACATATCAAAGCATTATTTGTACAAAATCAAATCATGGCCAATGATTCACAACAGTGCAATAGATAGATAAGGAATACAACCACATCCACCAGGTGCTGAAAAATAAATATCCAGATTAAAAAATAAGGTAGCATGTCTGCACTCTGTGGAGTCACTGTCTGTATAGCCACTGAGGGTGACAAGTCTCAGGAACGAATTTGAAACAGGCGGTGGCTCTTAAAAGCCACGTGGGAGGCTCCGATTGCCACCCCGTGACTTAACAACTCTTGATCATTATTTTTTCAAACACAGCAGCCGTCTCTGGCTGCGCCGCCCTCCCCGCCGGGGCAGCAGCCCCAAGGCTGCGGGAAGGCAGCAGGGGGCAGTGCTCACTGAGCAGAGCTCTCTGGAGGACCCCGGCCCTGTGGCGCCAGCCCCCAGAGCCCCCCGTACCCCGCGCACGGCGAGGGCAGGTGTTGGGGAACACGCTACCCGCAGCCTCCCAGCGCTTTAGTCAACCCAACAGCAAGTTAAAGCTCCCTTGTATATACTCTGCATCAGAAAGGTATCAAAGGCACAAGCAAGAAGTGACTAGGTAAGCAAAAATAGTGTGAATGAGAATGAAGAGAGTCACAAGGCAAATAATTAGTAAGTGGGGGCGGGTTTTTGTTTATTTGCTGAAAATAGGATCTTCCAAATCTGCTCCAGTGAATGCAAATAATGGTTTTGGTTTAAAATAAAACTGTTACTGAATTATTTTAATCACCTGAAGGAAACCAGTCTTGAAATAATCGATACTAGCTGGAAAACTCTTCTGGCCTCTGATGAGTAGAAGCCACAAGTATGAGAGACAAAGTCTCCTGGGCTTAAAAGAAAAGTTTCTTTACATAATGTACACAGCCAGCAATCATGTGTGCAGTTTGAGTAAAATTACAGTAATTTGCACAGTTCGGTTGGTTTTATGACTACCCCAGGAGCCCGATGGATCAAATGGGAGTCTCCTTCCTCTCTTTGCTTGGCGATGGCTTCACTGGCTGCTCCTTGCCTGCTTTGGGCTGCTCTTTGGCTGCTTTAGGCTCGAGGCTGCCGTCCCTGGGCTGCTGGGAGGCGGCCGGGTGCTTGTCGGGCTCCTCCTCGTCCTGCTGCTCGGCCTTGGCGCGCTGCAGCAGCCGGAGCTGCACGCGCAGCTCGATGATGGCCTCGCGCTCCTCGTGGATCGCCTGCGTCAGGTGGTTGTTCTTGATCTTTTAAGGAGGACAGTGCGTGTCAGGGCGCCTTCTCCAACAGCACTCCCCAGAGCCTGGGGCCTCTCTGGGCACTGATACTGCACCCCAGCACCTCAGCTGGACCTTCCGCTCACCTGGGTAGTTGGTCAGCTCAGCTCAAGGAGCCAGCAGAGCCACCTTATGGCTTGGGGCTTTTTCTAAGCCCCCCTCGGGGAAGAACAACTCTGACTAAGGCCATAATAAGTCCTCAGCTACTAGCAGCAGGGCCAGGCAAAGACATCGGCCCTTTCTGTTCCAGCAGCTCCTGCACCAGGACAGAAGGGAAGAGCAGCAGGTTTCCTGCAGGCTTCAGTTTTCCCTGGCTGATGTGCAGGGCTCCGAGGCACTTGGAGCACGTGCCAGGACCAGCCCCTGGGAGAAGCTGCAGCTGTACCAAGGGCCGCTTCCTTTTTCAAGGAGAACGTTTGTGTGAAGTAAGCGCTGCTCATGAACCCCTCCTCTTGCCTCCCACTGCTCTGAACCTGCTCTACCTGAAACCAGCACCGCAGAGCCCTGTACAACACGCAGGATCTCGGGGCAAGGGGAATGAGGAGTGACATCTCCCACCTGCCTGAGGTAAAGTAATAAGGGAAAGTACCAGTGACTGCAAGAATTAGGATTTTACCTCCAGCTCCTCATTCTGCCTCTGCAGATCTTCCAAGATGACCTGCAGCTCCTCCTCATCTTCACTCTCACTCTCGCTCTCAGATGAATACTCCTCAGTTTCACTGCGCCCATGCTGCTGGCGACTGAAAGAGCAGTGACAAGCCCTGTGAACAAGCCCCTCCAGGCTTGCCAGAACTGCAGCAGGGTGAAAGTTACCCTGCGCCCACTGGATCATGGCATCCCCATGATCCCCAGAGGGCACAGAGTCTCCTTTAGATGATGTTCTTATTGAGACGCGAACAAAAATTAGCCTCAAGGTGCAGAGTTACTGAAATGTCAGTGAAAGGAGCAGACTGCAAATATGCTAAGGAGGTGACCCTTCCTGGGTAGAAGGACCCACAGGTATTCTTAATCCAAGCTGGCCCAGCTGGGGATGTGATGTGAGCAGCTCCCCCTTTCTTACCTTTGTATTTCAGCTATTTCTGCGCGCAGCCGCTCTATTTCTTCCTTCTCCGAGGCAATCTGCCTCCGCAGAAACTGCTCCATGGCCAGCAGCTCTTCCTGCTCCGTTAAAATCTCGTTTTCCTGCAAAGACCAGTAAGTTCACCTTACAAATAACAAAAGCCTCCCTTGCAGGGAACACAGCACAAGGAGCCCTGTGCTCACAGCTCTCCCAGACGCCCCGGAGGAGGGCCCGGCCTGCCCGCCTTGCGCCCCGGCTCCTCGCAGGCGCAGGGCGGTTCTGGTTCCCCCGCACGTTCTGGGTCCTCAGCCGAGCCCGTTAGCGACTCGCTGTGGAGATGACCCAACAACTGCTGCCGTGCTTGGCTGCCTCCCTCCTTAAGTAAGTCACAGGGGAAGGCCTGGATAACTAGAAAAGCTGACCCCTGAAACAGGTCTTTCAAGAGGAATATGAGGGAAACTGCTGCAGAGATCAAAGCTCCTGAGGGAAGTGAAGGAAGGCAGAAAAGCCCAAGTCGCTGCCTTACTCCCCCCAGCTGCAGGCACCCCGCGGGCTGCAGTGGCAAGTACCTTCTAACCCCATTAACAGGAAAGAGGCTGTGTTTTTGTGGCACAGTATCTGCTTTTTGCTGCAAACACTCTAGCAAGCCGTGGGTTCGTGCTGCAGTCAGACACTCCTCCCCTCCTGCATGGCCCACTCCAGAGAGCAAGCCTTTCCCTTTCTCACAGTGTTGGAAAGAACACAAGTGTGTTTAACAATTCTAAAACACAGCAGAGGAAAAATGCCACCTACCTGTGCAAGCAGAATATTTATAACCTCTTCATTCTCATTCATCTCTTCTTTGGAGACATCCTCCTTGGAAAGGCTGGCAATCTCTTGTGCAATCTTTGTTTCACACTCCTGCCAGGGAAAAGAGCATGTTAGATGGGCAGCCCCTCTCCCCAGCCACTTCTTTAATTTACTGTAAAAAAGAGATCCTTGGGCTGTATCATCCTTCAGATTTAGAATAACTGTCTCAGTTACCCGGGATGCTTATGGGCAGGGCTGCTTTTAACAGAATGGGGGGGGTGCTGGAGTCACTGCTTGCCCATCTGTCTCACAGAAGACAGTTCAAAAATGGAGCTGAAGTCTGTTCACTTTTGAACCTTGAAGTTATTCATCTTGTTATTCCAAAACACATTGTTTTAAGTAGGCAACAAATATACGCTCTGTCCAACTAAGTTTTTAACTAGAGCTTTTGTTTGACAACCAGATGGAACCTCAAGATCCTGCTATCCCTAGGGAGAGCCAGAGAAAACGCGAGTGCTTCTCAGGCCCTCAGGTTAAGATGACGAGATCTGCAGTGCAGAGATTTAAAAGGGGGCTTGATCCAGCTGTACCGACTTGGCACTGTCCCACACCAGGGAGCTCATCCTGTTCCTCTCTGGTTCTGTGTAATATTCACTTGGGGAGCGGGAGGCCACCCGCTCCACCCGGAGAGGGCACGGGCAGGGGAGGCCAAATTCCACACCCAGAAAGCAGTGGTTAAGTGACCCTTCTCCTCCCGCAGCCACCAGTGCAGCCCAAGCAATCCTAAGCACAGCCATAGCCGTGTGCACCTCAGGAATAAACGGCCCGGCAGAAGTAAAGCATTTTTGGTGGCACAGAGCTCTCTCCCCTATTTTCCCCTCAGCAGGCACTTCCATTCTTTCACAGCTTTCACTGAAGAGTTAAGTTACTTAAAACAAGCCCAGAAGTTAGGCAAAATTGACCCTAGAAAGTATTCGCTATGCTTTGCTTCAGTTTTTGCAAGCTAGACTCACAGAGCAGAATGAAAACTTGAATCGACAGCCAGAAAGTGCTAATAAAATTCCCCAGCAACTCCTCTCCCTTCTAAAGCCAAACTGTGACACACAAAAATACTCCAAACCAGGAACATTAGAATAGTCCTCAAAGTGGCTGTAAAACCATCTCACCTTTACGGTATTTCCCATGATTAGATTAAACAATAAGGTGGAATGATGCTCCAAAAACACAGGGGGAGACTGTGAATAACCAGTGTCCATAAAGTGTGCTAGAAATTGCAAGTTGGGAATGTCCCTGCTCAAGTCTCACCTGTTATTTAGATGTTTGGTTGATAAAGTTACCCACCTGTCTCTTAGCTTCTCTTAATTTCCTTTTAAGAGCTGTTAAAATTCTTTGCACCTCCCAGAGTCTCTCTTCTTTGGATAAATCTTTTATCCCTGCCTGCAAGTCCCGGTGTAAACAGTTCAGTAAGAACTCCTGGAAATATTGCCAAAGATATCACAGTCATTGCAGGGCCTGCACACACCGTTAACATTCCTGACTTTAAAAGTAACTAACTGAATCATTTTTTGTGGTCAAAAGTGTCTGGGCTGCTAAAATGATGCTCAGGGATTTTATTTATTTATTTATTAATCCTTTAAGAGAACAGCCTGGCATCACTAGCATCCAGTCATAAAAAGTTCTGAATTATTTGGTCTTCCTTATTTAAAACTGTCTTCCACTGACTGGCACCAGAAGAGCCAGAGGCCAAAGCAGAGCGTTGAGGAGATTCGGTCACTTCACGCAGTCCCAGCCCTTGTCTTTAACCAGCGACATTCGCTGTGGGAGGACAACACAGCTGAGAACCGTCTGCGTGATTGTGAACAGTGACAAACCTGAAGGAGGGAAGAGCAAAAACAGCCCAGAGTGACTGGAAGCGACGACTCTCGCAGCAGCATCTGCTACCAGCTGCCAGCGTGGGGCTGCTCCGCTCGGATCACCCCCATGGCCAGGCTGCTCCTACGTTACAGTAACCTGCCCCGAGGGCCCTTTCCAGTGAAAGCCCTCAAGGCAGCAGCCGAGGCCACGCTGCCCCTACGGAACAGCACCGTGCACAGAGGCTGCTTTGGTGCGCTGCTTCTCGCCTCTTTGAAGTTGCTGATCATCGGGCTACGGCAGCTGATCGGGTTCTGACATTTCCAAGTTAATTCTCAGCGTGTAGTTAAAGTTTGACAAAAGAACTGCAGGAACTATTAAAATCTTAGGCTTCAGCTACATCATGAAAAGAATAAGCATTTTTGGAAAAGGTTTATCCAATATTACTACTTGGTAAACTGTTTCAAGTAAGTTCACCAAGAAACCACCTACTTAAAGATGAAGGAGAACAAAACAGAGAAATTGCAAGGTGTATTCACCACAGAAATCCTATTTAGCAAAGCAGTCCAGAAAAGATGTGGTCACATTCATGGAGACCAGGAAACGCCTTTCCACACATGAAATGAGCAGGAATACAACTACTGATGTTATGAAAACAACAAGCTTGTGAAAATTTGCTGTTGAATACGTATATATAAAAAAACAGTAAAGAGGCATAGAAAGAGCACTGCTGAAGCGGTGACCAACCTGTCGCCTGATTTCCTCTTTAATGCTCTCCTGCGTCTCTGGAAGCGTCGGCATCGTGGCCATGTTGGACCAGCGAAGAGGCTTCGTCACTGGCTTTAGGGAGACATTCCCAAAGAACTCTTGGACGTGCGTGAAAAACACATACAGGACACGGTTGCTGATCTGCCAAGAAGGGACAGGCAAAACACCAGTTGACAGAACAACTTCCTTACATCGTCTTGTGACTACTGCAGGTCACAGCCTGCAAGTGCCTCTTCCTTCAAAAGGGAAAGGACCTTTAGGAGGCACCTCTATGAGCAGAGCTCGGGTTTCAACCAAATTTCAGTGTGCCTGGAGAGACTATAAACAGTATTTCAAACAAATCACCATATATTCACCCATTAGCTGTCTTTGTTGCTGTCCTGTAGCATCACCACCTACAGTCAGTGTAAGCTACAAAACAGGACTGAGCTCACGTTGTTTTACATTAATTGTTGCCTCTTCTGTTAGCTATGAAGTGCCTGGCACAGCCAAACAGCAACACCCAACCCTTCTCACCTAGACTGTTAATTATCAAGCAAAGCTTGAGAAAGAAAGCCCACAGCCAGTGCTATGCTTCCTTTATGCACAGGACTAGTTCTGATACCTGTTTAAATTAAAGCTTTCCACAATGTTTGTTAAGAATAGACTCTTGGAAACTAAAAATCCGTATGGACAGCGAGGCCGGTGGATCCCCTGCGCGCAGCCGCCGGAGCCGTTTCGGCCAGGCCTGCAGCAGGGTGACCCGCTCATGGCACGAGGTCTGTTTGGAAGCTGGGCAGCACCACCGCGTTCACCAAACCAGCCCTGACTCGCAGACAGCCGGTCCTGCCTGCACCCGCTGGCGGCTGAATTCACTGTGCAGTGAGCGCTGCTCACAACAAAACTAACACCTGGCAGGTGTGTTAATGTTTCAACCATTATGGACACTCATGTTTGGAAAGCTTCATTTCCCCTTCTCCACTGGTTTAAGCTCCCAAGGAGTAAAGAGAAGCTGTAATTTAGCTTAATCTTACAAAACAAAATGGTTTACGCCTATATACACCTATATGGAGGCGTTTCTGGGACAGAAGCTCTGCTCTGGCACTTGCTGTGGGCGGCACGTACCTGGACAGTCGGGCTGAGCACTATGGAGATATTCTGGATGTTCATTTTTGTTTCCAGTTCTTTTGCAATAACATGATCCATATGCACAATCAGCCAGGAAATGAGGAGATGGTTACACTCGGGCAGCTCCTTGAGCAGCCTCTGGCACTCCTGCACCTTCTCAGCCTCCGTGCTCTTTGCGCAGGCGTCCTCAAAGCGGGGCATGAGCTCTTTGGTAAGCAGGTTTTCAGGCAGCTCTCGGAGATACTGCTTCAGCAAGCTGGCTACTGTGTTGGGCTCGTATTCTTCTAGGTTGGGAGATTCTTCTCGGTCGTAGGCGGCCTTAAGCTCATCAACTTTTGACTTTATTCCTTAAAACACACAGATGAAGAATTAAGAGAAATCTTGAACTGTAAATCTGTAATAATCAGAATAAGAATTCAGATAAGAATCAGTTGTGTATCTGCATTCAGTTTCTTTGAGGCTATTCAATCATACAACCCCAACCTCAGGAAAGAAATATTTTCTTATCAACACGAACATCGTGCAACAAGTTCCACATACGACAACCTTGTTTTGCCAAAACCAAACCAGACTTTATTCCCCAGATTTCCAGCTGGCTCTCCTCCGGAGAAGTTTCACCTAAGACTCTTCATTCGAGGTAAAATGCTTGCAAAGTCACTCAAGCTAATGTTTTGTGCAAGGCGATTTGATAACTTGCTGACATCTCACAATGGTCCAGTAATCAGAAAACATTTCTTAAAGCTCAAATAGCCTCTCGAGTTGCACTTGCTTAAGGTGCTGCCACCCCTTGGCCACATGCAATAAGCAGAACTGGCTGTAGAGCCCAGGTAAACACCAGATAAAAGGCATTCAGGGAGTTCCCCTTGAGGAAACTCTGAGCAAGCCGGGTCACCTGGCACTGCCCGCTAAGCCACAGCGCTCGTCCCTGAGCCCTGTCCTAGCAGTTCTGCGCACACAAGAGGGTGCTATTGCCCTGCAGAACACCCAGAAAGCACAAACAGGAAAACGTGCTCTGGGAAACAAACCTTTCCGAGCAACCCCCACAGGCCCACCTGGGACACGGGCAGCCGCTGAGCAGCTGCTGAGGCTGCTCCCCCATCTGCCAACAGCAGCCAGGGCACGGGCAGAGAGCGGCCGCGGCGGCCTCCACGCTGCCCGCAGCACCGCTGTGCGCTGCCAGATGGTGACGTGTCCGAACGCTTCTCCCCATCCCCTCCTCTCGCTTGTTCTCACTCCTTCAGCAAGCGCACAAGCACTCAGACAGACGTGGTTACAGGTGCTGCTCCCAAACGGAACAGCCCCTGTGCTTGACGTGACTAAGCCTGGTGCTTTATAAACACACCAACGTCTTACGCAAGCTGGTGTTACACAACTACCACAGCTCATCATCCCGGGGTTGCTGGGTTTAAACACTGAAGCTTGGGCTTTCGGCCCTTTATTTAATTTGCTCAAAGACTGTTTTCGGAAGAAAATCGTGCCGTGGAAGTGGTTGGAAAAGCAGCCTGGTGGGAAGCTTCAGAAAGAAGCGGTTATTTCTCAGCTTTGCTTTGCCCATGACCCTCTACCACATGGCTATGGCAGAAGATACAAGCTGGCCACCCCAGCACACTTTACTCACAGCTACCCTCCTACCACTAAAGTCCAAATAATGATTGTGTGTTGACAATAAAAAGTACCACCATACTAGCAACTTCTCTGGAATTTAGGACTCAAGGATTTGCTTGACTGCAGCTACTCGCTTATCTTTCTGGTAATGAAAATTAATGCAGCTCTATGTGGCCATATGTGCCAAAAAACGACAAAACAGTAGAAAAATTCAAAGTAAGAAAAGGAGAAGCCCGCACCTCAGCATGGCAGGAATACCTGAAACTCTGTAGATGCCTTCGCACTTCATGCCGTACTTCTCCACATAATCTACACACTCCCGGAAGACGGCGGGCAGGCGGATGCCGTCGCACATCATGGTCCTGTCGGCCGCGTCGGGCAGCGGGACGCCGAACACGGGCCGGTGCCGCGGCACGTCCACGGCAGGCGGCTCCGGCTCCTGGATCGGCTTCTTCTTTTTCTTCTTCTCTTTCCACTGTTTTACAACGTCTGCTGCAGTTAAGTCTTTTGACTTCTTCTCTTTATGTTTGTCTTCCTTGTGTTTTTCATCTTTGGGTTTCTCTTTTATTTTAAAATCCTTTTCCTTTTTCTTGGAAAAGCTGGGTTTCTTGAAGACGTGTATGCCCTTGGACCGCTTCAACTTGGAAGGACTTTCAGCTTCATCCCCAGAGCTGTCCTCTTGAAAGGCAGCATAACCTTCCGCTGTTAGGCAGAAGAGGGAGGAGCAAGAGGAGGACAGACATGAGTGTATTTACCTTATCTATCTTTTGAAATTAGGAGGAAAAAAAGCAGGGGAAAGAGAAGAAGCAATATGAATTAAACCAGAACTTGCCCGAGTCTTGAGAAGATTCTTTTGCTACACAATTAAGTGGACAAGGATTAGTTCAAAGCTGCATATTCACATCAAAAATACACACCTCCTGAATGAGCTAAACATTTAATACTTTATATACTTACTCATTATGACAATGTCCATCTTATGGGCTATTTTCCCATTTAATAGTCAAGGAAATGGGAAATAAAAACAACTGTCTGGCAACTTCTATGTTCCTGTAATCAACAGTATAAGAATTGCTGTTAAAGATCATCTACTACAAGCACACATCCGTAACAACATTGCAGTAAGAACAAACTAAATTTCAGTCCCTTAATTGCCCAATAGCTTTCCAAAATTATACAAATTCTTAGATAAACACGAAGTTAATGAAGTTTCACCCTCAAATAAAAATATCAAAAAGGCGAGTCAAGTCCAAGCAACCTTACTTTTCCATGAGGGGAGCAAGGCCAGCACAATACCTGCCCACAAAGCTGCCTGTCTGTCCCAAAGAGCCTGTGTGAGAGCCTGGAAGAGGCCGGGGTGGCAGAGAGCTATTCAGCTGCAGAACACCAAGTGCTGGCTGAAACGCCCCGCACCAGTGTCTTCATTAGCTACACCTCTGCAGCCAGCCCTGCCTGCCCCTCAGGCAACAACAAGGAAATCTGTAAAGGTGGATTACAAAAACAAGGCAGCACAAAGCCAAGGAACAAAGCACCACAGCTTCCAAGGCAAGAAATGGGGATTTTACGTACGCAGTGCCCCTGCGAGGAAAGCGAGCACAGATGCTGCACAGAGGAGGTTTCACGTCTCGCACAGTCGAGGCCCCTGACCCAGCGGATAACAAGGTCTGGATGCTCCCGAGGTTGAGAGTCCCTCATTCTCCTCCTTTACTGGACATCAGGGCCAAAGGAAGCAGCGAGGGGTCATTTCTTAGCTAAGAGTTTGGAGGGGTAGAAAATAAGCTCATGAATTAAGGGAAAGCATCAAGGATGGGGCTCTCGGCTGCAGTTCTTAGAGGCGACAGAGCTTGCGCCAAAGCAAGGCACGTTCAAAACTGTCTTCTGGCCTTCCAGTTCTGGAATACACTAAGAGGTGGAGAGTTTCTCAGTGTTAGTTCAGCTAATATTGAAAATTTCAGCAAATTTTGAAGCTTCCTTGCCGGCTTTGTAGAAGGTAGTTTTTAACGGCGTTAGTTTAAGAGGAATGTGTGAAAATGTGGCATTGCGTAAAATAGTTACAGTTATTTGACTGGTTCACCTTTCCAATCCTGGATTCTTCCCTAAAATTGCCAGACACATGCACTTTTCAGGGAAGAATGGAGAATTCAGCGTTGATCCTACCCAAATGAACCTTTAATATAAAAATGCAAAATTTAACTCAAGATCAAGTAGCAATCAGGTCTCTGTCCTCCCAGTTTACTGACTACACCATGATCGCTGTTTTTGCAACCTAAAATTGCAAATGGGTAGAGAAACCTCCTGCCAAGTGCAAACTAGGGATTCACACCTCATTCTGACATGGAAAATACTGCCAATGCACCAACTACAGGGCAAAAAAAAAGTTAATTTTACCCTTATGCTTTGTGGGACCGAGATAAATCTGCACTGGGTTTTAACACAGGGTTCACAGACGCAGCTCGTGAACCAAAAGCTCAATCTTCAGCAGACAGAGCGCAACCAACATGTCCTCAGAATTTCCCACCACCTTTAACAGCTCCACATCTAACACAGCAGGCTGCTTTATTGTGGTTTTCTTCCCCTTTTCTGCTAACACACAGCGTGCTGCCAGGGCCTGAGAGTGACAGCGAGGAGCCCAAAGCGCAGAGCTTGGTGCCACTGACAAACGAGGCACCTGGGCTGCGTGTCCCAACGCCCAGCGTTGCAACACGAACCCTCCCGCAGGCCCCGCTCCGGGGTAACCTCACACCAGCAAGAGCGCGTGTTCCTGGAACGGGTACTTCTTGACTTCCTGACAAGACACGAAGAAGCAAGTCAAATTCTGACCCAAACAATTTTAATTTGTCTCAGTAACGCAAGTCAACAAAGTTTAGGAATAGATCTAGCATTCTCTGGTTCACAGGGAAACTCTCACATAACTCTTCTGCGGTGGCCTTTTTTCCTTTAGATGTAACTATCCCCTTGAATAAGTAGAAAAGATGACAAAAAGGAAGAGGCTCAGACCTTCTGCCCAGTGGCAGCGAGTGGAACGAGATCCCCATCAGTTGACCCCCACCTAGGACAGCAATACAGGGAAGAGGATGAAGCCTGACATCCATTTGGTGACCAGAGATTTCTTTTACAGCAGGTCTAGGATTCTGCCCCCGTCCCCAAACTCAGCAGCTCAGTTCTAACGTCCCCCAAGAACGCATGCAGAAAAGCCTCCACACAACAGCAACACATTTGTCAAAAAGGTTGCCTGCAAAATTCAGAAGAGCCTTTACCTATCATGCTGCTGTCTTTTTTGACAAGGTAATTTAGAGTTCGATTGATCCTCCGTTTTCTCCACATGAATTAAATAAAGAAAACGGTAAGTAAAAGATCTTAGCTTCACGTTGAGCCCATCCTGCCCAGTAGCATCAAACTCAGAAATAAAGCAAGTAAGAAAAGCACTACACAGACTCCTGGCCTAAAGCTGATCTCCCATAGAAACACGTTGCCGAATGGAAGTGCTTTTTCTTTTTAAGCATTTCTTATAACCTTCATTTTCTGTAAGAAACAGCATGTTTTATGACTTTATCAACACGTGATTACTGACAGGAGGTGAAGCTTGTATTTATTTTTCCTAAATCCATTGCTCCGGTTGCAGCCTTGCATAAACCATGACTGACTCAAAAAACCTGCCTCGCTCCCACGCGGCTGCGCTGCAAGCAGGGACATGCATTTTTGGAATCAAGGGAAAGATCCGAGTTAAAAGTATTTCAGGCGAGAAAGAAAGGAACCCAGACAAGTCTCGTACTCTTAACTCTATCTGCACTCACCAACACTCATGCTCTTGCAGAGGGAATAAAAATGAGGGGCTTCTGAAACGGCTTCAGCAGCTGATACTGCACATGCAAACCAATCATTTCATTTCTTACTATTCCCGACAGATTTTTAGCATGTTGTTTAAGTCTTCCCAGAATAACTGCTTTATAGATTAGGTTATTACTATAAGCATGAAAAATACCAAACCCACATAAGAAAAAAAATCCCTTGGCTAGCATATAACAAAGGCTTCCTTACAATCCATAATGACGCTGATGCCAAGAGTACATTATTCACACAAATGAGATTTACCTCAAATGTTAACCTGAGAAACGTTGGAATGTTCATGATTCCCTCTCTGTGCACCCTGCCTCCCAGCACCTTTGAAGTCCATATTTAGAGAATTATCAAATATCCAACAAAGACCTTTGTAGTATTAAAGTTGCAGACAATTTTTGGGAAGACATTGTTTTTTGGATGACATTGTTATTAATTTGCTAACATTTCAAGTTCTGTTACAATTTAATGCAATCAGTTGTCTTTTTTCATGACACATTCAATGCTATCTCCTTCACCCCCCGTTACCCTACCGTAGCTGTTTGCGGGCTGCTACATGTGGCCACAAAAGCTGCTGATGAAAAGAAACAATCTGAACACGTGGCACAGAATTTAAAAGACGGGATAAACTGAAGATAAACAGAAGCAAAGGAGAAATAGCAAATGGCAATGCTGGAAGGGGAGCTCTTAAAATTACCCACGTCGAGCAACTCTTGTTCATTTATATAAGTAAAATGTTTCCTTGCGATGTATGTACAGTACTGACCACATTTAGATGTCACATGAGAATACTGAAAGCTGCATATTTAGCTTACTCTTACAGTAGCTATATGGCATACTTATAACAGAAGCGAGGAACACAATTTTTATATTACAGCTGCAGGAAATAATTTGATTCTTCCTTCGTTTTGCATTTCCTTCTTTTTGATGATTTACTTCATATCTGTAAAGCTTCTTCTAAGTAAAGAAAATTGCTTTTTATCAGCCCTAAAATGTGTTACGATCTCCTGAGGAAGAAAGCAGTTGCAGTGCTAATGTGCACAGCATTACGCGTATTTGCTGAAGACGCATTTTCCTCTCAGGCCTCAGTTAGGCCATTCCTGTAAGATAGAGAATTGCACCACAGAGAAAGACGTACCGTGGAAAATGCTGACCTCTAAAAGAACTAAATTTAGAGGCATCCTATCCAGAGTTATACCAAGTAGTTGATTTGCAAAGAGGGGGAAGAAAAAAGAAAGAAAGAAAAGACAACTAATAGTTTGTATATTTATATCCATCTGGCGAATTCAGAAATTCCAGCAGCAGTCAAATCAATCCAATATTCTGTATTAATGGCATTTGTAAGAGAAAAAAAGGATTACATTTGCTTAAAACCATTAGTTTAAATTCACATAGGTCTTAACTGAAGGTTAATGCATTTTTGAGTTATGGTAACCACTAGACAGTATTTTAACAGGACTCCTGAACGGCGGTAGAATCATGTAGTTCTTGGAGTCCAGGATTGATTAAAAATAGTGCAGCAACAGCAATGTATGAAGAGTAATTATTTAATTAAATATGTACATGCATATTACAGATAGTCACCATATGCTTTCTAGCAACCCTGAATATCATGTCTCTTTTTTTTTAAACTTCCAAATTCACGTGTAGGGGGTAGTGAGGCATAATTGCATCCAGAGCATGCAACCTCCAAATCGGCAGCAGCTCTAGAACATTATTTTGAAATTTTATTAAAACAAACAGCAGTAAAAAGAAGCATTGATATTTAGCCTATGATGTTTAGGTTCACAGACTTGAGCCAGTTAGAACCTTTCTGATACCAAGAGCACTTGGTATCATCTCAGTGCTTCTTAACCCTTTTATTCTTTCAGAAGATATAGGAAGATTATACTGAATAAAAACTATTTCATAATTCCAATTATTTTTCCTCACAAGTAAAAAGGCTAGAAGTAGGATTTCTCTTTTGTGGTTTTGGATGAGGATGGTAATAATATTTTGCTGAAATGAAAATGTAAAGTTTAGGCACCATTACACTGACAAAAAATGGATTCTATAGTCAAAGCTTTACTTGCTCCCAACATTTAGCTTGACAGTTCTTGTAATTCAGATTGTGATGATGGCTTGGACATTTTTGGCCTCTAGACTCTCACTTAATACACTGCTGGAAGAAACTTTATGATTATACTGAAATAAGAAAAAAAAAAAAAAGGCACATAGATTTTTATTTCTCCTCAAGTAATGATGCAGGGTGCACATGAAAACTCAAAAGGGCAGACAATAGCACACTGTATGAGTGCCAGAATAAAGGGAAAGGATTCTAATTTATTACAGGCACTATGAAATTATGAAGTAATTGAATCTGTAAATCAGGTCAAGTTTTCAGTTTTATTTGAGTTAGCTTCCCAGCTATAATAATCAAAGAATCTTTATTTGGAAATACAAGTAGATAATGGGATGAGAAGAACTCCATGCCAGACAATTGCCCAAGACTATTTAAGACTTAGGATAAGCATGTTTATTTGTAAGTCTGGGCATGGGCTTGGCACCTGTATCTGAGAAACAAAAAACATCTTCTTATTTAAGGTTTTTGGAAGAGAAACAGCCTGTTTGTATAAGCTCACTTATTTCATACCTTGCTAGTAAAAAACCAATAAAATTCAACATGGTTTTAATAGCAGATGAGATAGCATTCAGGAGAATGTGAGTGCCACAGAATAGTAAGCATGAAATGCGAGAAACTGCCAACTTACTTCTCTTTTCCTTCTTCTTAAATTTTCCTTTCTTCTTCCCGTGCTCCTTCTCATCATCAGATACTATATCTGGAGGCTCGTGCAAGCTGTCATGTGGTGGTGAGGGCTCACCGGTGCGGTACAACCCAGGGAATTTGGTTGGACTGATTTCCTCAGAGCTGGGAGTACGAGCAAGACCCCCACTGTGCTCTACCCGCCGGTGTTCGCTGGGGCTGCTAGTGGGAGGCAGGAAGCACTCGGTCATTCTGATTCCCTGGTATCAGAGAGAAAATTTCTGCTACCTGTCCATCACACCTGCAACAAGGAGAAAAACAAGCAAAAACAATCAGAATTTGAACAACTGAGTGTTAGGGTATCTTGCTTAGAGCTCTATCCTGAAAAGAAATAATTCATTCCACATTGAAGAGCCCCACTGACATCGAGCCTGCTTATAACAGTATGTACTAGGCTTAGTGCTCGCAGAATCTGTCCATTCACTCCTAACCTAATCTTGCCATATGAACACACCAAGACCACAACACAATCGACTGTCAATTTTAATCATCTCTACTCTATACTGATTAAAACACTACATATTAAATATCATAATGTTTGAAGAACTCTTCTAAAATTAATGAATTTGTATATTGATTGTTAATACTTTTTATAAAAATCAACTTTTTCTTGTAACTAAGAGGTCAGAATCACGTTAAGGTTGGAAGGGACCTCTAGAGATCATCTAGTCCAACCCCCTGGCTCCAGCAGGGACACCCAGAGCACGTGGCACAGGGTCAATCCAGGCGGGTTTTGAAGATCTCCAGAAAAGGAGACTCCACAACCTTTCTGGGCAGCCTGTTCCAGGGCTCTGTGACCCTCACAGGAAAGAAGTTCTTCCTCATATGGAGATGGAACTTTCTGGGGTTCAATTTATACCCATTACCCCTTGTCCTGTCACGGGCCATCACCAAGAAGTGTTTGGCCCCATCCTCTTTACATTCCCTCCTCCGGTATTTGTACATATTGATTGGATCCCCTCTCAATCTTCTCCTCTGCAGGCCAAACAGGCCCAGCTCACTTAGTCTTTCCTCATATGATAGATGCTTCAGCGCCTTAATCAACTTTGTTGCTCCGTGTCGGACCCTCTCCAGAAGCTCCACGTCCCTCTTGTGCTGGGAAGCCCAGAACTGTACCCAATACTCCAGTTGTGGCTGCACCAGAGCTCAGGAGAGGGGCAGAATCCCTTCCCTCGACCTGCTGGCACTAGCAGGCAAACAAGACAACTTTAAATTTAATAAAGTAAAATAGGCCTTTCTCAAAGCTCGGAGTGAACACCGCATTTAATGCAAAGCTCGTGTTCCCATGCATGTTTTACAGATGCAAATAAGGACTTGCCTAGCCTGTTGCAGCAAGAAAAGAAGAAACCTAAAGTCAAATTCATCCTCTATTCATGGTAATGCCAACTGAAGAAGGTAGAAGAAGAATGGTCAGTTTTTCTGGTATACAACACGCACAACTTAACATTTGGAAAGACTCTATTAAGCAAGCTGCATCAAGAAGCAGCTTTCACAACAGAGCTATGGCAAAAAAAATCTCAGAGGAAACTGGCATAAGAAAGCCAAATTATAAATCCCCAGCAACAGAACTCCTCAGCAAAGCAAGACCTTTTCCCAGCACAGATGAATGTCTGAATTTCTACTGGAATAGGTCTGCCATAAGGGACTTTATACCTACGGAAAAAGCTTTGCTGAACTTGGCCTCTTCTGTCTACATAGTCACTCAGATGTGAGCCCTTCTTTCAAGGGAAGGAAGAGAGACAAAAATAGAGCAAACCACAGGAAAAGAAAAAGCCATCTTCACACCCACTGGCATACTTAGGTGACAGCTCGCCTTGGTTACATGGTAATTTTAACTCAACTTAGGCCTGTGCTGCTGCAGCAAAGAACCAGAGCAAGCAGAAAGCAAACACAAGGGAAAACGACTTGTTTGTTCACTTTAAGCTCTGTAACCTGCCCCACTGAACAGCACACGGGTTGGGGCAGGCATGAGGAGGGCTGGCCTCAGTGAGGGGATGCCACATGGCAGACTTGACACAACTGAGGCAAAAAGCCACAGGAAATCTATTTCTGCAAGACTTTAGTTGTGGTAGAAACATTCAGATATAACAGCTCTGGCTTCCCAACTACCCTATGGACTATGTAGTACTCAAGTTCTCGCTAAGCTAAATGAACTCAGACAGTGCCTGGTGCGCTCAAGCAATGCATTTTTAATAGAAAGGCTAAATGACTGAAGATTCAGGCTTATGGAGATCAAAGCGGGTCAAAAGCTTCAATCGAGAGGCGCATTCAATACTGCCAATGACACTGACTGGCAATGCCACTGCATCTTATCTGAGCATCTGAATGGTCTGCAAAATTATCTCCCAACACCTATTTTCATTCAGTCCCTTCGACAAAACAAACATCACCCCCCACAATCTACCCAAAGCTGTAACACTGCACAGGGTATTTCAAGAGTAATTCATGGAATTAAATTAAAAATACTTCATATAAACATTTTCTGAGAACAGGATGGACCACACCTACAAGTCAGTCTAGGGTGAGCAAGACTGGTAAGAAAGAGAGAGGAAAAGGGCCATGTCATTGTAAAGGCAAATAAACGTCACCCTGGAAAATAAGAACCTACATCCTTTGCTTCTGCCAGAGCCCCTGGGACGAGGCCAGTCAAATCCCTTACCACATTACACACTGTTCTGTAACTGTGTTTTACTCAGTTACTGAATTCCTGGGATCTGATTTGCAGGATACTGAAAAACATGACATGGATTTGTATTTTCCCAAGTCAATAATTTTAAATTTGTATCCACTTAAGCAGGCTGTTTTTTTAAAATTATTATTGTTTAACTTCGACTCTTCAGTTCCCTGTACGCTGAACACAGTGAAAAATTCACGTGTATTTGAAATGGTCTCCCATTACAGAAGGTCAATCACAAAGCTCTTATGGAAATAAAGTTACCCAAATCAAAATCTGAATAGTTAACAGTAAGACAGGGAATGATGAGAAACAAAATACCCATGATATATATTTGACTTGATTACTATTCATTCCTTATTCCGACTAAAGTAAACTAAGAAAACAAAGATGACAATAGTACATATTTGTAAATGGAACAGATTAAGATCGCAGTTGCATTTCACAGTTTGTTTATATTACAATTTTAATAAAGATTTTATCATCATTTTCTGTATGTGTAATTTCCTAGACCTTTAAATGAAACATCAAGACTCATCAGCAGAACCAGAGCCTTTGGGCCTACCATAAAAAAATCCCTCTACTGTTACTAGTGGCTGGTACCGCACTATTGCCACACAGATGAGTTCCTTTCCTCAGGTTTTTACAAGGAATGGCTACAATGACAAAGAGTGGATCCTCTCAACATTTTGAGAAGGAATGTTTCTAATTGGCAGATCTTTCTGCCAAATTCTAGAGCTTTTCTCGCCATCAGTCTCTCAGACTGGACCCCTTCTTCCCAGCCCATTGCTGTTTCAATTCTGTGTCTCTTCCCTAGCAGGCTGTTTGCTTCAAATCTCTTCTCTTGACCGACACAGACCAAAGCAGTCAGATACAAGTAGTCGGTACTGCCCCATGGTGAAGGCTACTCTATTCCCCCTGCTAACATTTGCATGCAGAGCAAGCCCTCAGTCCCGAATCCAGTAAGTTGCTCTCAAACTCGCTTTGTGAGCTGACTAAATTTGCCACTCATGCCAGCAAGTTTCTATAGGTAACTTTGTGTTTCAAAGCCCTTCCCAACAACTGCCAGTACTTTCTCAGCTACTGCCTTGGCCTATGCCCCCTTTTCATAAGCATTGTGTCACACACACACCACATATTATTTTGCTGCACAGGCCTCTGTGACCCCAATTCCTCGCTCAATTTCACTCTTCCCCCTCTCCATGTTCTTTATTCAGTTGGTTCCTACTCTGCTACAGCACCTTGCTTCCCAGGTACAGCTCTCCCTCTTCTTCTTTTTTTTTTTTCCTGATGGTTAGTTATCCATTCCAGTTTCCTCTTAGACATCCATCTCCTGCTGCAGTCAATCAATTGCTTGTTGTTAACTTCATCTCATCTTCTCACCTTGCCCACACCCCACCCAGCAGCTCTCAGTCTCTCCCAGATACCACAAGTTGTCACCTTCCTTACCCTCCTGCCAAGAGCAGACTCCTCTCAGCTCCCACCAGTTCTTATTCCCTCGACATTTGATTCTTTTTCCACAAGAGCCAGGAACGGCGTCACCTGAGCTCACGCGAGCTCCTCTCAACATGAACCTAGCTATTCTCTTCAGTATCCCAAAAACACTGTTTCAGGAACATTCACACTGCTCAGCACTGAGCTCTGAGCTAAACCTTCAAAATAACTGAATGGGAAAAACAAAAAGCCTTTGCTGAACACACGAATTGTGACTCTTCTTCCACTCCTCAAAGGCTAAGTTAGAAGAGGTTGTAAACACAGAGGGTAAAAGGTACATCCTTAACACAAAAGCTCATCTTCACCATCATTATCTGCCAGGTTCGTTCACCAAACACAAGAATAGGAGGTGCAGAGAAGAAGCAAGAGTCTGCAGAATTAACAAGGCCAGAATAATGCATTTTTTTTCCCCTAATCTCATTCTTAAAAATAGCTGAACTCTTCCTTCAAAAATTCAGCCTAAGCTACATACCCGGCCTGCACAAATTAATTTTGAACAGCTTAGGTTTGACAAAACTCTAAAAGAGGAAGACAGAGAGACACTCTAGGCAGCCTTAATAGATCCTAACATATCACAGTGTCATAAAAATTGGCACTAATGTATCAAAACCAAGGCACAGTTCAAAAGACCAAACAGTTCTTTTCGATTAGGCACAGAGGGCTCCATTATTTCCATTTGCACGGATGTATCGCGACTTTGCACCTCCTACCCAACTGCAAGCAGCAGCAGCAAATTACAGCAGGTGACTGCACAGAGATGGCGTTCTGTAGAACGGCTGCGCAGAATGAAAGACACCAGGGATTTTTTCACAACAGGAACTATGCAAGCCCACAGCAGAGGCCCTATGGGTGTCCCCAGGTCACCCCAGCTCCCCACAAGCAGACACACTCAGAAAGGCCATGTGTTACAGTGCTAACGGCCCCAAGAAATCAGAAATCACAGGACAGAGGCAGAGTGGGAGCACTTGCTCTGCCATGAGACTACTCTATGGTAACTACACAAAAATCAAGATGCAGAACACAGCAGTATTTCATGATCTTAGGTAGGCAGTTCCAAGAACTAAGCACACATGAGGGAAGTGGAATTACCCTAGTAATCAGCACAGCTCACTTTTGCATAGTGAACCAGAAGAGAGCAGAACCCAAAACATCACTTGCAGTGTGAAGATGTCAAAGTACTTCAGAAGCAGCCATAATCTTCCATACAGCTCCTGCAAAGGCTAAAAACATGACTCAAAGATGAGAAAATAGAGCTGGAAACAAGCTATTTGCAAAGGCATATAAGCAGCCACATCCAGCTCAGACTAATAATACTATCCAGTGTGTGAGCCATTAGCACCACGGTCCTTCTAGGAGAGCAGCATGCTGATGCATAAACCCACACTTAATCTTCTTACAACTATTGCTGCCTGTCAACTGCAGCAACAACTTAAACTTCTCCAAGCTCAAAACTAACAAATCATTTGTTTTACTCATCAAATGATAAATGTGCTGAGGTTTTATTAGTGCAATAAAACCAACAGTTTATAGCGCCTTTTTTAAAAGCAAAAAAAAAAATGCCATTTTCACACTGTATTGAGCAAGTTTAATAAAAAATATACTGCTTTTGCTCAGACAAAACTGCAACTCTGCCTTGTTGGTTCAATTACATGCAGTTAAAGAGCAGAACAACACCTATATTATTTAACAAGTACCACCCAGTAGTACCCAGGTGCTCTTTTCTTTCTTTCATAAAACAACATAGCCATGGAGGTAGAAGGAAATGGGAAATGCACCATGTAGACAGGTAAAGCAAGTTTAAAATTTCACAAGTCAGAGTAATGGCATAAACAGAGCATTAAGCAACTCCCTTGTGAGTCACGCACTCTCCATAATTAGCAATAATTAAAGCCTCGAGGAGGGCTTTTGCAAGACTTTTTGGATGAAGAGAATTAAATATAAATTGCAGAGCAAGATTCAGCTCCCAAACTTAAAGAGTACTTTATAAGATACAAGATGCTGTAATAACATTAAAACTTACTTTTAAACAGAGTGGGTAACTATATCAGCTCAAGTTAGGTAGGAACAAGACATACATTCTTCAGAAACAACTCCAGCAACACATGCAAAGGAACAGTTAAGTGTGCTGAAATAAAGTATCAAAAATAAGAAATGTCCAATAAGTAGCAGCACCCAAGTTACTACATTTAATTACAGCATTAGATATAATTATCATATAGTCACACTCCAGTCCCTCAAATTAAAACATGGCCAACTTGAAAACACCAAACAAACAATAGTCACAAAACAAAGGACTAGAAACTGCTCTTCCCAAGAGGCCAGAACTCTGCAGAGTCAGTCCTGTCACCTGGCTCAAAAGATATCTTAGACTATGTATAACCTAGCATTTATGTCATTAAAGCTTTTTCTTTGAAGAGTGAATTAGCTAACACATGTGCCATAATTCCAAAAGACACACTATGATATTCCAAAGTGCAAACAGCAAATATTAAGGACACTGCACACAGTCTATGTTTTGGC